GCAGTGACACTGAGCGGGCGCAGGGGGCCGAGTCGGAGACGGTGCCTGAGTTCGGGAGCGGCCACTGAGGGGGCATAGACGCTCGGAGCAGCCTCGCCATCGCCTCTGCGTTCCTGCCGACTGCCCGGGTGCCCCCTCCCCTACTCCTCGGCTCCTTCGGAAGAGGCTGCGCGCTGCTGTTTGGGGAGGGGGTGTGTGGAGCCCGGTCCTCGGTCCGCAGTGGCTGCTGTCGGGGGGTCGCCTGACCGCGGAGGTGTGCAGACACTCCTTGGGGGTCGAGCAAATTACGGGGTTCGGGTGTCTGGTGTGTGAACATCACAGGTCAGTGCCTGTCGTCTCTGTGGGAGTTCTGGGGGTGTGCAGGGTGGGGGACCTGCGTTTCGGGGGTGGGGGCTTGTGTTGGGGGGTCCTCAGCTACAGCCTTTGGGGAACCGGGGGTGAGGGTCGAGGTTTCCCTCAGGTGTCTTCGCCCGGGCAAGACATAGCTCGTAGAAGCCGAATCGATCCTTTCTCCTGCCCGTGCCTAGAAAGGGAGCATTATGGCGGGTTTTGGGGTAGTGGAAGGGGGAACCGGCAGTTGACCCCCCTTGGGAGTGGGGGTTAGGGAGGGGCGGCCTGTCCCCCGGGCCGCAGGTCCGGGCCGCCGAGGTGTTGAGGGCGACCGGAGAGTGCTGAGGTGGGCCCGGGGTCCCGGGCGCCTCCAGCCCCGCCGCCTCGGCTGCGTCTGGTCCAGGTGCAGAAGCGACGGGTAGGCCCCGGCTTCCCTCTGGGCTTTCTGGATTGCCAGGGTCCGGCGTGGTCCCGTCGAGGCGAAAAGGGGGGCTCAGAGAACGCCCTGGGCATCTTGTCTTTGTGGGTGAGCGCGACCGCTCCTCATCCTCTCCCGGAGAGAGAGGGTAAACCCGCCCCTAAGGTGGTCACCCCCGTACCCGGCCCAGCCTTCCCAGTCTCCTCCCCCACTCGGCTTGCATTACGGCTTGTCCTCTGCTGTGCCCGGAGCCTCAGAATCCACAATATGGCTCATTTCAGAACAAGCTTATTTTGACCAAAGGATTGGGATTGGCACCAACGCCGTGACAGCAGACACAGAGGAGAAACAAACGGTTCCCTGTGCTAAACGGGGGAGGGGAGAAAGCAAGCTGAAGGCTCTCTTCCTCCGCTGGTCCTAGTTCCCTCTCGGTCGGCCCTCGCCGGGCTCTCTCTGATGAATAATTCCGGTTTAAAGTCCAAGAGAAACCCCTGGAGTTAGTCCCAGAGCAAATCCCGGAGTTGCCTATTTTAATTCACCTTTTAGAGATGTGAATAACGTGTGAGGTGTTTGGAGTTCTGGAGACCTCGGAGAGAATTAAGTGAGGTGCATTCAATTCTACGATGGAGACATCACTGCCTACCTGGAAAATAGTCTCATTTAGCTCTTAATTTCTAAGATGGAGAGTAAAAACTGTAATTTTCCTCTTTTGTCCTTTACAGATTCTAAAAATGGCGGCCCCAGGCTGATGTTGTGGTAATCTAATCAGCTCGGGTCCTCCACACCCCATGCAGTGCGTTTGTCTGCAGCATATTACAGGCTTATTATGTTTACATGAAAGGACTGGACTTCCCCCCCCTTCTTTCCCAAGCCATTTTCAAAAATGTGTTGATTTTATTGCAAATTAAAATATTGTTTTAGTTTATTAATTTTATTGGTTTGTCCTGAGAGGCAAATAAAACAAGACCACTTTTGAAAAAAAAATAAGAACATCCAAGTAGCCTTGGAAATTTCATTGGTCAGAATGGATGCTCTTCTTTGATAAAAAAAAAATTTTAAGTGCCACTTACAGTTGATATTGTGCTTAATTCAGCCATCTTCAATATCTGAGAGTAAATATGTGTAAGGGTAATAGGGTTGTAGAATTGGTTATGTTAATCTAGAGTGAAACATTTCTTATTTAACTCTTAGAACATTTGGGGCATTTTGGGTTTTGTATTCTATTTCAGAGAGTAAATTTAGGGAACTGTAAAAACAAGCCTAAACCTGTTACTTCACTGGTTGCTATTCTTTCCACTATTGTATTTTACCTTTGTTTTTCCATGTATTTAAGCTTTCCTTAAGAATCATCAAGAGGTTGTGGTTTTGGTAAAGTGATACTCTACTTTGCTGCCTTTAAAATTTATCTTATAGCATATATCATCATTATGTAAGTAAAAAGTAAGCCTTTAGTTCTTGATTCCCACCTCCCACAACCTCTAAACATGCCCATTTACCGAATATGGGATTGTAGAATTTAGTTTGCTTTAATAGACCTTAAATAAAAGCATTACCATAATAGAGTCTAGAATACATTTTGTGTCATTTTCAGGATCTTATACAGTGAGACCAAAATTAAATGGTGTCAGGTGTCATTTAACTGTATTTTTGAAAGTGTGAATGGTTAAATTTTATTTGCATAGTAGGAGACTGATCTTTTGGGGCTAAACTAACCAGTAAGCTGTGAGTGGGCCATTAATGACATTTAATGATCATTGTGGAGCAACTGGAAGATGACTTTCTGTCCAGTAGTATTTATAAAGGTTGGAGACCGTGTATCCTTTCATTATTCTCTTATTCTATTATGAACATTTTAGGGAGGGTTTTACTTCATATTGTAAATATCTAAACTAAGTTGATAATAAGATTCTGTTCTACAAAATAAGTATAGGAATAACTGACAGGCTTTTTTTTGTTTTTAAACATAGCAGTGAGTTTCATCCTTGAAGACTGAATCTGCAGCCTCACTTAGAATCTTTGAAATAATTTATTATGTAATGAAATATTGGTGGGTAGTAGAAATTGTATAGGGATTTGAGATCAGTACTTATTTGCATTATGCTCTACAATTTAGATCTGTCACTGCCATATAGAATACTGTGCATTATTTTATTACATACATGGTTAATATTTGTGGTTCAGAGGTTGGTAATTGAAACTTGCTATCCAGTATATAAAATTATTGTATTCTTATAGGTTTCATTTGTGTAGCAATAGGAAGAAACTCTATACCTCTGGTTTTCTTGATAGTGACCTTGATAAGGTCTAGACACAGAAAGCAATTAGACTCACATAGACAATATCAAGTTAAAAAAAGTCTCCAGTCTACTTTCTTCATACTGATTTGCTTCATTGCCTTGGGTTTTGTCTTATTTAGCTGTTTATCTTGATGTTTTGATTTTTGTAAATAGACTGTGTTGTACTTCAAGTAGGTATTTATAACTAACATTCCTTAAAAATTTTTTTTAAATCAATTGACCATACATGTGTTAAGTTAGGACTGTGGAGGCAAATTTATTAAAAGGTTTTTGTACTTCATGTTCCAGGGCAGTTTTTAAACATTTTGTTCTTTTGGGAAAAACTAGTCAAATGAGGAATTACTTATTTATCTAAGTGGATTTATAGAAAACCTTGATTTAACTTGGGAGTAAATTTTTATTTGTAGAGACTTTATTTTGATCATATTTAGCTTTTGTTGTCAGTGTAAATGATCTCTTAAGTTTAAAACCTTTATAGGTCTGTCTTTCCCTTAAACTCTGTATAACTGATGGCCCTCCTACAATTTTGGTTTGTCTGATTTCCTCACAGCTTCCCACAAAGAATCTTAGCAACTCTTTGTAGCATTCTCTCTCTCTCTCTCTCTCTCTCTCTATATATATATATATATATATAATATTGAGCCTAGTACTTCTAGAATTTAAAAACGAGAAAGTAAAAAAATATGTATAATATTGAGCCCTACCACTTCTAGAATCTTAAAAACTAGAAAGTAGGAAGAAAAATGAATGATAAATGAGGAGAAATTTCTTTTCTCAATATATAACGCAGAGGTCTTAGAGAAAATAACTTTAAACTGATAATTTAATTTCTAAGAATAATATAGTCATTTCATTAATTAATCTCTAAAAGAAGCATGTAGGTTTTTTTTTTTTTCTTTTTCTTCTTTGAGACCTTTAGTTTATTTTATATTGTGCCAGTTGGTGCTTGAACTCAGGGCCTGGGGACTGCTCCTTAGCTTTTCCCTCAAGGCTGGTGCCCTGACACTCACTTGAGCCACAGCTCCACTTCCTACCCTTTTAGTGATTAATTGGAGCTAAGAGTCTCACAGATGCTTTCCTACCCAGTCTGGCTTTGAACCACAGCCCTCAAATCTCAGCTGCCTGAGTAGCTAAAGTTACAAGGCTTGCGCCATCAGTGCTTGATAGTAGTTTTATTGTTGAGGGTATATTACATAAATTTGAAGAGATTTGCTTTCTTGAAAGTTACTACTGGATCATACATATGTACTATCTTAGTGTTTAAAATATATAAAATCAACAGAACTTGGAAGCACTTTCAGAATTGCTTAGGTTGGTCTATGGTTTTCTTAGCATTGGTTACATTTATTTTAAAATATATTTTGGTCACCTGTAATCCCAACACTGGGAAGAGACTCAGAAGGTTGGCAAATTGAGGTTACCTTGGTCTATATAGCAAGACCTTTCATAAACTAATAAAAAAATATTGGGCAAGTATCAAAAACATAAAATATTTTTATAAAGTGTAATCAAGATAAAAAGAGACTGGAGGTATGGCTGTAGTGGTAGAACACCTGCCTAGCAAGAATGAAACCTTGAGTTCAATCCCTAGTACTGCAAGGAAAAAAAAAAGATTTATGTAGCTTTTTTTTCCCCACTTTTTACAATTGTAGAAGGAAGATAATTACCAACTCTTAGATTGCTTGATTTAGAGTTAATCCAAAGAAAGAAGCACTTTTGCTTCTGACATTTATCATTGAGGAAGAATATTGAGTAATCACATCTGTATCTTTGCCAGCTTGCTTTCAGAATTAAAGGTCTGAGCCTGTGACAGAAACTTGAGCTATATGACAATGGAATTAAGTTGTTTTGATTTATAGTACATATAGCAGTACTTAAACTCAGTACCTCCTTATACTCTTCTGGCTTTTTTTTACTCATGGTTGGTGTTCTACCACTTGAGCAATGCCTCCAATTTTGACTTTTTAAAGGCTAATGGAGATAAGAGTCTCTCAGATTTGTTGCTCTGACTGGCTGTAAACTTTGATAATCAGATCTCTGCTTCATGGGTAGCTAGAATGACATTTGAAAAACAATTTTTATTTAAGAACTAAAAGCTTTTATCCTGATAAGTTATTTTTCTTTTCTTTCTTTTTTTTTTTTGGTCGGTCGTGGGGCTTGAACTCTGGGCCTGGGCACTGTCCCTGCGCTCTTCAGCTCAAGGCGAGCACTCTATAGCTTGAGCCACAGCACCACTTCCCTGATAAGTTATTTTAAATTTGAATTTAAACTTTTTC